GTCCGTGCACCAGGGAACATCCCGCGCCTGTTCACACGCTGCATGGCGACAGCGCGCCAAAGCGAACTGCACCCTGGGTTTTTTACGGACCTAAGTTGCGTCGCGCCGACGAAAACCTCACACGTAAAACGTCGAGGGCTTTCTCGGGAAACTGATTGGAAAGCAGTTGCCTGCGTAATAAAGTTGCGTCGCAACTTAAGGGGAAACCCTGAAGACCGTCTTCGACTATTACGTCTGACCTTTTACGAGGCTCCAGCATTTGCATGTTCTTCATCTTGATCGTTTTTTCTGGTTTTTGCGGGGGAAGCCCTCGGCTCCCGTCGCCCTCAGGGCTGCGGTTGTGTGTCCGGGTGGCGTGCGACGCTCCGTGGGTGGCAGAGTGGGAAGAGGCCTCCGGTTGAACTGGGACAGGAAGAGAAAGAGCCGTCGGGGGGGTCAGAGGGGATCCTGCAGCCCGCCTGGCCCCCCGTTTTGGCCCAAGGAAACCCTGATTTCATGGTGCGCTTTGGGATCAGCAGTGTTGTCAGATAGCTGTGGACCTTCCAGAACGTGGTCCCCAGTAACCGCGTTCGTAATTTAAACTGCTGATGAGGATGTCTGTCCCCAAGACGTTATAAAAGACAGAAATGACAGCATTTTGCAACATTACATTCATTGCATCTAAATTCACTGACTGAGGCCTTTTTGTCTCACAGAAGAACAAAAAACACTGTTGGATTATAACGAACTGAACTGGCCTGTCAGTAGAAGCTGTATTGATATGTATGAATATATTTGAAAGCTGCTGTGTTATAAATATATTTTGTTGTGAAAACATCAAGCTCCTCTGCCTTCTCTCAATGCTAACTAGAAGCAACCTATCAGAGCCAGGATCCGGTCTTAGCGCTGCCAATCACCTCTCCGTGTGACGCTCTTCATCCTTCCTCCGGCGTTGCTCTCCGCTACACTGCAACTAGCATGGCAAGTTGTGAATGCTATGCTGGTTCGCATAGCCACTGTTGATGGTGGACAAACTGTTTTCCAGTATCGGTAAGTTGTTTCTTCACCATTGGCACATTTAGCAACGAGTACATGAGGATGCTGGACAGCACTAAGAACCGCCTCCTGACTCTTGATTGTCGTAGCTCTCCACAGATTATCTGTCTCGTTGCATACGGTCTCAACCGGGTGTTAGGTTTAACAAAACGTTTAACAGCTGAAAGTTTCTCCTTTCCAAGTGTCATTTGTTCCTGACAGCAGGAACCAGAAGGCAGAGTTTGTTTTAGTAAACACGACTCTAATCTGCTCTGGACTCAGCCAGCTACTTTACGTTCGACTCAGCCGAGCTTGCACTCCTCATTTTCCCCACACACACGCACACACACACTCGCCAGATGTTGCTGAAAGCGGTAAGGGAAGAAGCGGCAGGTACGCGCGTTTAAATATCCGACCCCCACAAGGGGCTCTTCCTGTACATCTGTCGAGATTTACGTGGACAGTTCTTCCTAGGAGCCGAGTCGGCTTCCCGCCAAGGCCGGATCAGAAGGACACGGAGGCTCCTCAAGCCAGAACAGGTGACTGTGGGTCAAACGTAAGGAGAAAAGAAAAAAAAGGTCTTGTCAACCAGCTTTTATCTACAGACACTTCACCCGAACCCCCATCTGCTTCTCATATCGACGTTCTCGTCGGCTCAGAGGTCCACTGGTCAGACCTGCAGAGGTCAACCACACCAAGCGGAGTAATGAAATCAAAAGCAGCCCGTATGACAACAGGCTGCTGCTGATCAGTGGAAATCGCTGAAGGTTTTCATTATGACGTATGACGATGGGATGGGTTGTGTGTGTGTGTGTGTGTGTGTGTGTGTGTGTGTGGGTGTGTGGGGGAGATTCAAAAGGGAGGATATGAAAGACTCAGCAGAGCTCTTTCAGACTGAGTAATGGTCGGACGGAGTGGGGGCCACCGACAGCTTTACTGTTCCCTCAGGCTTCAAAGTGTTAAGTGTGCGAAGCCGATACTGCAGAGTATGGTAACACACGGCCCTCTTTTTGGTTTTACGCGAGGATAAAGCCCATCGTGTTTTTAATGGATTTAGATTACCGCCGTAAATCTAACGGGCGAGCGCCTGTGATGTCACATCTGGAACGGCGATGTTGAAGGGAATGCGGTGGGCGTCGCGTCATCAAGCGAGAACCGAGTGGAAAACAGCAGGATTGTTCATACGTAAATCAGCTGAGCTGGAGCCGTCCGGCGCGCGGGCCGCACACACAGCTGGAGCTTTTAGCTGAACAGTTCGAGGCTGACGCTCTGAAAACGTTTTTTTTTTTTTTTTTTTTTTTGCAGCTTCGCCTGTGTTTTGCTTTATTTCAGTTGAATGTCAATGACATTTAGCTACATGCAGACATTTTCACAGAGCATGTCGGAAATTTGAAAACGAAAGTGAAGCTAGCTAAAGGCTAAAGGCCTATTAGGGACGTGCTCTGTATATATTTTTCTTTTTACCCGCAACTGGAATTCACAAAAATAAATCTCTGATTGGTGCATTTCTGCATCAGAGGCAGCCAGATGAAATGGCTGATGGCGCTAAGGCTGATGCACAATATCACACAGTCCACTGAAAAATCCAAACAACTGCAAATCCAAGAGGTTCAGTCAGAACAGAACACAACGGGCCAGAGGAGCAAACGGATAGATGGACAGATCAACGAAAGAAGAGTGGGAAACTGGACTACATCCACACTGGCTGTGGACACAGAAGAGGGGACCTTGAAAAGTGTTGCAGGGATAAATAGTTTTCTGCAGAGACAGAAATATTTCAGGATAAAACATCCAGAACAAAACTGAAAAAAACAAAAAAACAAAACAGGCTTGAAAATTCATAAACCATGAAAGAGAAGCAATGCGTGTTTTTCCTGGATGGAATCCTGACTCAAATCAAACTTTAGCTCGCTCGCTCATGACAAAGGAGCTTTTCCCACATCCTTATTTGCATGCACATCCTGCTTTTAATTGGCCTCAGTGACAAAAAGAAAACAACAACAAAAACGTGGTTTGGGTTAAAAAAGCCTGATTTCCGATCTCGTTCTGGCGCCCAGTTCATGAGCTCAGTGAGGACGGATCAATGCACGACGGCTGGGTGAACCAAAGCGGATGGAATTCGTTAAGTTTTCGAATGCAAGCGTCGAGCTTTAATTGTCCCTATGATAGCTTCAGTCGATGCGGTCAGAGAATCAGAAATGAGGCAAAAATAAACAATTCAGTCGTGTTTTTCTGGACGCCAGTTGGAGCTCAAAGAGGTAAAAAAAAAAACAACAACCACATTTAGTTTTATAGCTTGGTCATGTAACCTTTACCTTCAGTTGTAAAAATTAAAAGCTACATATATCAAGTATGGCCTAAAAGAAATTTGAGTTAATTTAACACCTGTGTCTCTTTAAGAAACTCCTGCTGTTTTTGAAACTCCTCCTTCAGGAAGTCATCACAACATGGCTCCTCTATTAAACCTTCAGCAAAGTGACTCCTTTAATGACCTCAGGAGTTGTGCAGTTCCACCAGCTGTTTGCTAATTGATGCTGGCTAGTCTGAAGGAGCCGGGGGGGGATGCTGTGAGGCGGATGTTTGGAAACTGCAGCTCAGAGGTGGAGCTTTGTCTTCGAAGGCGGAGCTAGATCCACCCAGCTGAATGGTTGTCATGGGAGACTAAAGGATTTCTCAAACAGAAAACACTCCTGGTACGTTTTTGAGGAGGAAATGACATCAAAACATGATGTGAAACTCAAAATACTAAATTTTACATAATTCTGCCCCTTTGAAGCAACGAACGCTGACTGCTCCTTCTGTGGTGGAGAACTTATTAGGTGGATGATTTTTTGCGAAACAGACGTCAGAAGCGTCTTTGCGTCTGGCGAGGTGAAAAACCAAAACATCTAAAAAGCATCAACATCGGAGCCAAACGTCAAATCATTTCTCTCCATTTGTTCCATTGTCCCTCAATCAACGGTGATGTCGACTGAACCAGAGTGGGACTCAGCAGGGAAGCTGGAAGAGCCGAGTCACTTCAGAGGGGCCCATCAAGCTCCCGTCCCTGGTAGCATCTGGGGTCAAAGCCACTCTCTGCCCTCTCATGATTCCTGTAAATTTCTCATTTCTGTCCTCCTCACCTCATTTCTACCCTTCCATCCAAAAGTGCCACACAGGCGAGTGGATATCTTTATCTGGGTTGCGTGTCGAGCTGTCCCAGTGTTTCCAGGCCGACCAGATGGATTCTCTCAAAAGCCTGTCTGTGACGCAGATTTGGCAGGAACCTTTTTCAAATCTACAATCCGAAAACAACAACAATAAAAAAAATCTGCCCTTTCCCCTGGAGTTGAACATCATAAAATCTGAATGTTTTTTTTTTAAATTTTATGTGCTTTGGAGTCATCGCAGGACGTTATTGGAAGTTAATCCAAGCTCTCAGTGAAAACCCTCCTGGCCAGCTGTTCCACTGACTTACGAGGAGTGGAAGATAAAGAGACGGGCAAAAACGGATTTAAAAAAAAAAAAATCTTTTTTCAGCCGAAGCTTCGAGTTTCGAGCTGCTGATGCAGCGGCAACTAGAAAACGTTGCCCGATCCCTGAATCTTTGCCGTCTTTGCTGACACATCCTACAATTAAGAAAATGCAAATGATCGAATGTTTGTTGCTTAGAAAAAAAAAAAAACATAGAAAAAGTGTTCAGAAAGAAAAAAAAAGGTTTGAGGTTGCAACATGATAAAATGTGATTAAGTCGGCCAAGTAGACTTTGAAAGGACAAGTTACAAGTCTCCAATATTAAATATGTTTACTTCTGAAAAAAAACCCAACATATATATATATATATGGAAAGCTAATGTTATATTTATAATGAGAAAATAAGCAGAGTCAGTGCAGCAGCTGCATAGCGGCAGCAAGAAAAAAAGATATTCATTGTTTGCCTTTAATTATGCATCTTTCTCTGGGCGAGAAGCCATTTGTGAATGTTAAAGAAACACAATCAAGAGAAGTTATTGTTACAAAGGCTGAGACTCCCCTCAATTTATTCACTGACAAGTGTAGACTGTATGTACAGAGAACAGCAGAGACATTTCTTAATACATCATTGTAAAAAAAAAAAAAAAAAAAGAAAACGGGGAAATTGCACAGTGCTTACGTTAGTCATTTTTCACCAGCATAGTACCATACTGTGGACAATAAAACACAATGAAGGATGGTCATAAAAACAATGAAACAATAATATATTTCTCTTGTCTTAAAAAAAAAAAAGGAAAATGATCCCTTGAAACGAAACAATAGCTTTATGTGAAAAAGTCAGGCATTCAAACATTAATTATACAACACAAATAATCTACAAAACATGATCAAATTTGCATATGATGAAAAAACAAATCTTTATTGCAGGCATCCCTCCAGTTTACGATAAAACATACAGAACATTGGTTAATAAAGCTGCTGAGTACGAGCAGAACCATCCGACACACACAAACACACACACTCACCCACACACACTCGCAAAGCTGGCAGAACTTTCAGCCCAGCAGATCTGAACCTGGAACGACGCTGAACAGACGCGCAGATGAAAAGCGGCTGAAAAAGCGCCTCGCCGCTTAACCTCCCCGTTTGTGCCGCAGACTCAGAGGAGCGCTGGTGATCACTGCATCCGCTGAGTCACCCAGAGGGGTCAGAGGGGTCATCTCCTCCGTACGCCGGCCGACGAGTCCAGTCACTGGCGATGTTTACAGAAACAGAAACACGCCTACGCAAGAGCTACTGCTGGGTTGTTGTTTTTTTTTTTAATATAAGGTAGCATGTTTGACAAGATGCCTTGTTATTCAACCGTGAAGAACATCAAACTTCTTATTCGGGTTCTGGTTAAGGAAGTCAAACAGGAGGATGTGTAGTGAGTTGTCAAAAGCAGAGTAGAATCATAACTACTGTAATTCTTTGAATCAAGCAATATAAAGCTGTTTCTATTAACGCTCCCACTGGATCATTTGGACCCCGAGCTTTTCACCCTCTGCGTGGTCCGGCGTGGTCGAACCGATCCCGCTTGAGCTCTTTGTGTGGTTTTGTGACATTCTGACAGGACAACCCCCTAAGTATGCAGCGTTTTGGGGAAACTGTAGTCGCTGGTTTTACAGAAAAGCAACACATTCAATATGAAAAAAAAACACTCAACTTTTGATGCTGTGAGACCTCGGGTGGATCTGGCTGCGCATATAAATAATGCCATCGATGCTGAACATGTGTTTCCATTACAGTTTTACAAAACACACCAATTTTAAAACCGATAGACCACCGGATAGTAGCTCAAAACGTTTTTGTTGAAAATTGTTTTTAATCAAAATTTGCATAATTTTATGGTCAACTGAAATGCAGGTAATGACAGGCCAGGCTAGAACAGCCAAGACACCCGTGGTAACTCTGGAGGGGCTGCAGAGACCCACAGCTCAGGTGGGCTGTTAGCCTGCAGGAGTCAAACATGGATGCATGGAGGCTTTGGATGCTGGTTAGGATTGATTGGCTATTACTCTACAAACTGCTGACCAGCAACCATCTAAACTGTCACACATTAGGATGTGACTGAGATATTTTATTCTATTAGAGTGAAACTCTGGCAGTCAGACAGGTCTAGTGACGTATTCCACATGGACCTAAAGAACTGGGCTGAATGTTCTTTCTGTAGGGACACCAGTTTGACATAATGTCACACGATGAATGTTTTCAAAAGCAGCAGATTCCTGAAGCTGATACTTAAAATTAGAAACATCTGATTCAGTTGAACTTGGTCTGCAGCTGAGATTTTGATCAGTTCCAATCAGCTTTCTTTCAAGGACTTTGCCCGGTTTGAACGTTACATGAACCATATTGTGGTATATTGTTTACAAAGGGAGCACTGCAGTATTTAGTTAGGGACTGGACTTGTGTAATCTTATGGGTGTAAGACGTATAAACCAGGAATATCATGCCGAGTTGTTCGCACCTCTGCTAAGTGTATGCTAACCCCAAAGATGAACTGATCATTTATTGAAACTGTATCATCTGATGATACAAACGGTAAGAAAAAAATCTTAACTTCCTGTTGGCCTCACACGTTCTTATTTCCAGGTTCTGATGCCTGCTCGTTCACCGACCAATTTCTGCAACTTTTCACATTTTTGAACTCAAAAACACATTAGGCTGCTGGTGGGGGGTGAGGGGGGGTCCCTGCTGTCCCTACCGCAGGGCTCAGCGGGCCCTTCTGGGGGGAAACCCTCATGTCACTCTGCTGGTCCTTCCAAAAAAAAAAATCCTCACCTTTAATTTCCTTATCATTAAAAGGCCTCACACTGCCAGACCTCTCCTGGTAAACTGCGCGCGGAAACATAATGCGCCGCTAATTGTTGACTGAACAAAGAAAAGGGCTCCTGAGTGCGCTCTTATGAATGGCCACAATCAAGAGGGAAAACAAAAATCAGCTCCATTGTACAGAGAGGTACCAACTGCACAGCCGACGGGCCGGTCTCCCATGGCGATGAAATGTTCATTGAGAAACAGCTCTGGTTACAACCGAGTCACTACTAGGTGAAGCCAGAAGTGGCGTCATCAACCCCCCCCCGCCCGCCTCCACGCACAACAGCAAACACACACAAAGGGCTGCATTCATTTTTGACTCCACGCATTAATTAATAACCCGGCGCTGACCCTGTTTTGTTCTGCCGGTTGTCCCTGGGTGAGTGGAGCAGAGCGAGAATAAAAGGAGATCTAAAGCTGTTTTCTTCCTCGACTGAGGGAGCGGAGGGATGAGGGCGACAGCGTGAGGAGAGAACGCCGAGATAAAGCAGCCAGCCGAGAGGAAGAGAGAACTCAGGATTATCATAGTGAATATAGGAGGGGTGTGCGTGTGTGTGTGTGTGCCCGAAATCCAAGCTTTGACTTCACAGTTGGCCCAAGCTCCTTTAACCTCCAGTCCGGTGTGTGTGTCTGCATGTCAGTTCCTGCCTGCACTAATCACACAAGCAGGCATGAAGAGCAACAATAAACCTGGTTAAACCAGCAGAGATCCATGATGTCATCACATCCAAAGTGTTTTTGGTCTGTTTACGAGCAAATATCTTAATACACTTGAAGACAAATCTGGGTTACTGGTAACTTTTCATCAGGATGTAGGACGTGTCCAAAGTGTGGCCTGGGGGCCGTTTGTGGCCCTTGAAATGATTTTGATGGGCCGCCCTCGACTCCTGACGACAAGTCAAAGACGTTTAGACTTTGGCCGACAAATTAGAAAAAAACTGATGATCCCCGACGTTTGGAAATTGTCAGTCTTGCTTTGAGAAAGGCAACAACATTTTTGTGCTTTGTGTTTTTGATCTGAAAACATCACAAAAATGTTTATCGAGCAACATAAAAAAAAAAATCGACAAAAAAATTATTATTTTTTTTTCATATTTAGTAATTAATAAAATTTGCCACTTTTGGCTCCCAGAGCAAAACGTTTCAACACTATAGTCAGAAGTTCGAGTGCTAGAGATGCCTGCCACAATAAAGCAAGTCCTATAATCACATTGTAATTTGCATCTGCATGACTTATGATTTTTCTCTTTTCAAAACAGCAATATTATTGTTTATCGCGATAACTCCTGGGACAATGTATCGCCCAGAAAAAACTTATCACAGTGAGGCAGATTATTTCACTTCTATCAAGGATTTTTACAATTGTTGACCTAAACGAGTTCCAATAAGTAGTTAGTTTTGTCTTATCTAGAAATTATACAAGAATAAAATACTTGGTAAGATTTAGTGTTTTTGCAGTGCGGAGGTTACAAAACTTCTAGGAGCCGCCGTGTCTTACTGTACGTGACGGATGGATGGGTGACACAGAGAAGAAAGGCACTTTATAAAAATACATGAAACAGTTAAAAACCTCTGATTTCCTTATATTACAGCTAAAAAAAACACCCTATAAATTTTATATTATAAAAAAATCTGTCTTTAAAATATTACAAATTTATAACCAATCAAAACATTTTTTTTTAACCAAAGTATATAAAACCAGACTCATTCCCTGCTCTGTGTCCATGCTGTAGAAATGCTTGTTCAGATCTCTTCCCGCTCTCTCCTGGCCTCAGGAATATAAAAACCGTCCCTTCTCTGAGCCCTGACGGTGGCCCAGTTTGGCCAGCTGTGTGGGTGACGGAGGAACATCCTGCCTGTAGGGGCCTTTGGACCTCTGTGAGGAGTGGGTGTGGTTTGAGGCGTGGCCCGGTGCATGGCCTGGGGCCGAGGCCTGGCTGTGGTGGCAGACGCCGGAGGCGGAGCCGCCGCTGCTGTTCGGGCCCTCCTGCGCGGGAGCTGCTTGGGTTTTGCTAGCCTCCTGTTCTCTTCGCCTTTGCTCCTGCCTCAGCAGCTCCTGGGTCTCCAGCATGACCCGGGCGTTCAGGCTGGGTTTCCCCATGAAGCCGTTGCGAGGGCCTGGACCCATGGAGAGCCGGGCATTCTCTTTGGACGTCTGGAATCCCTCGGACGGTGGGTAGGACTTCTCCCAGGAATCATGGGACGCCAAGCTGGGGTTCTTTCGAGGTTGCCTGAAAAAAAAAAAAAAAAGTCAAGCAGGAGGGTTAAAGTGATCTTTTATCATTCATCGTTGTTGCAATAAATTCCGATAAATGACATTTGAAATTATCCACATTGTTGGGATTGTTAGTTATACTACTTTCTCCAACGACTGTACAATAAAATACATTTAAAATTTCAATTAAATACAGTCACTGAGTGCACTGTAATAATAATAATCATTCTTTTTTTACATGACTGCTATCCTAAAAAAAATACATCACAAATGGGTATATTTCTCCTGAGCATCCCGATACCGATATGTTTAAAAAATTACTTACCATACCGATAGCGGTGCAGATATTTCGAACATTCCTACTTTGGAAGTTTTAAATCAGTGAACTGAGTCCATATGTGTATCATTTATTCTCAGAACACATCTAGCAGTTCTCTAAGGACCTGAGAAGTTTGCTAGCAAACATTAAGTAAAAATAAATAAATAAATAAAAAAGTATGATGGTGACCAAGAATCACAGCAGACAGGTGAAGGTTAGCTTAGAAAACACATCCCAGGCTTTTAACACCAGACAGTTTAACAGTTCATCATGTGGAAACCTGCTAGTTTAGAATAATGCACATTTATAGAAAAAGTGCAATAAATTACAGCTGATCAGTTCAGTGCAATGCATACATTGTTTGCTTATATTGCTTTCCTAATACCATGAAGCTCTGACATAAAGGGTATGAACCAATTCTAAAGGCACTGATTTTTTTTCTTCCTTTTTTCTTGTACCAACTAGTGAGAACAAAAGAAGGACGTGCCATTACCTTCCTTTCCCTTAAAATACGAGGAACAACACGAGAGAAGAAAAGAGGAATCTGTTTCAGCTCTGCTGCTTGATTACCCTGCATCCAGCGGCATAATAAGTGAGACACGCAACGGAGAGGAAACAAATGGCAGAAGCCTGAAAATGCCCACGGGACAATTAGTTCCACGTAGTAAACAAACACAACAGCTAAAACCACACAGAGATAGGAGAAACGCCGGCTTTTATCCATTTAACTTCCTTTTGAAGACGCAGGTGGGTGAACTTACAGAACAGACAGAGTAATAGCGCGCCTTGCAGCGTTCTCTGCCTTCTACTCATCTCTCTCCAGCCGGCCGGCCGGTCGGCCGGCCTCTAGGACGGCACGAGACCCACGTCAAGTCCAGATTTTGGGGGGGGGGGGGGGGGGGGGGGGGGGGGGGGGGGGGGGGGGGGGATAAAAAAATTTTAAATATGTAAAAATCAGACGGGAACAACACTGTAACAAATCTGCTGCTCTTAGGAATTAGCTGTGGAAAGCCTTCGCTGGAAAAGGGTTAAATCTGTCCGTCCATTATCAGGATCAATTAAAAAAAATCAAAATGTTAAAACAGTTTTAATTTTTCGGTGAAATTGCCCAAAAATTTCACTCTAAAATTATGGGTAAAACATTTGTTTTCATGAATGGCTGGACGACGTTGTCGTTGTCTATGTCTAAACCTGGTGCTGGAGTCAGTGATTCACTGGGAAAAGAAAAAAATGTTTCAATTTAAGGACAATAATGTTATTCCTAAAATGAACATGAAAGCAACTTATAAAGTGAATGTACAAATGTAAAATGTACAATTTACTGTTTTCACCAATCATTTGTGGCAACTTCACATTGAATCAACAGTTTTAAAACATTTTACGGTTTACTGATGTTTCCTGTCAATTTTTATCATTTATTATATATATATAATATATATTAAAAAAAAAAAAAAAAAAAAAAAAAATATATATATATATATATATATATATATATATATATATATATATATATATATATATATATATATGTTTTTTCCACTGATGCCCAACGTGTGATGGGAGACCACTAACAAGTTTTTACATGGAGAGTGCTATGAGAAAACCCTCTTCACAACTCAGTGACCCGATGTGTGGTAAAAAAAAAAAAAATTGAGAGAACAGCATCTCAAGATGCTTTTAGGACAAAACTGTGTCTTATTGGCCCCCGGGGGCCGCATTCCAGACACAAGCAGTTTGGGACTTTTCAGCTCAACCGTGGACCCTCTGCTCAAATTGAAACTGTGAAGTCTGAAGAAGAAGAAGAAGAGAAGAAGAAACTCATCAAATATCCTTTATGTTTGGCAGAAATAAACAAAAACTGTAAAGCTTCTTTCAATTCTGCACATCAAGGGCAAAAGCACTCAGTTTTATTCTTAGCAGCAGAACTCATGGGCATCAGAGATAAGCTCCAGCCAGTGGGCTTGTGGTCATTCAAAAATATAACTATATAGTAATATATGCACACTCTTACTACTGGAAAAACTGCTGTTTTTTTCCCTAAAATAATACATAAACAAGAAAGTCTATGACATAGCCAAATGGTGGATGCTTGAATTGCATTAACTTTAGAATTAAATACAAGGCAGCATGACTTAGCAATGAAATGTTCCGAAGTCGATAGCGATATGAACAAGTTCCAAATGGTCAAATCATTTCCTGAAATAACTAAAAACTATCCTGGTTTGCTGTTTGGAGGAGATGTCCCAACCATTCAGAATTTAAAGACGATCAACTCTTCATGAGCGCAGACAAAGCATCTGCATTCCGAAGCATGTAAAGGTCATGTGTTTGCATTGTTGTATTAAGGCTATTTTAGGTAGAAAACAAAATGGAGGAGGACATTTCTGCCAAAACGCAGACATTTTGGGATTAATTTTAGAAATTTTTTGGAAAAAAAAAAACAAAATTTTCTGAACTCCAAAAGTCAGATATTTGCAAGAAACAAACTCAGACATTTTGAAATTAATCTCAGAAATGTTCTAATAAAAATCATCCAAGTTCTTTCTAGAAATGTTCTGAATCTCAAAACTTCTGATTTGTTTGACATTAAGCTCAGAAATGTCCTTGTTTTTATCTCTACAAAAAAAAGATTCATCTCAAAATTTCTATGGGTATTTTTTTTTTCTTTTCCCAAAAAATGTACTCTGTCTTTATCTACAGTTGCTCTAAGTGCTGCATGTTTTATATGGCATCATTTCAAACACATTTAGGCTGTACTCATAGAAAGACCAAGCGAAGGTGTATAAACGCAGCATGTAAGAGTCTCTGGGTTGAAAATCTCATTCCACCGTACATAAAAGCAAAATGCTCTGCCGGAAATGAACTGGCCTCCCTATCAGATGAAGCCGATGCTACAGTGTGAATTATTTAGGGTAGCATCCTGACACATGCAATAGACTGATGCTAAAGATGTTTAATCCGGTGTTTATGCTTTATCTAAGCACTCGTAGTCTATTTACTACTGTAAACCATCTGAGTCCATGCAAAATTAGCGTCAAATCAGCACAACTCAAAGCTAATTCACGCATGTGGGGCCAGATACATATGTTTTCATGTGTCCTACAATGTGACTTAAATACACTGGCTTTTATTTATATATATATTTTTTGTTACACTGTATACATGATGATGAGAGAGTGTAATTGATGCAAAGACAGATGCAGGGACAGACTGCAGAGAGAGCCCCACCACATGCTCTGTATCTGGGTTTCGCTGTCTGGGCAAGGCGCCATGCCTTCACGCTCTGGCTTGGCTCGCGGAGCAGCCAACGGCGCTCATGGGGGGAGTTAGCTCGCTTTAAACTCAGGAAGCCTGTTGCACCAGGCTGCGGTCTGCAGTTCCCGATTGACCTTTTAGGCTTTTCTGTGACAGAAGAGAACGGATTTAGAAGGTTTGTTTCCGCGGCAAAAGGGGAAAAAAAATAAAGAATGAGAAAAAGCGGAGCGGCCGTTGCTGGTTCCACGCGGGAATGTGGCCGCGATCGATGTGTCCGAAGATCTGGGGCTCTTATCACCTCTACCTCTACGCCAGAATATGTCACGGAATAGATTAGTTCCATTTACAAAAGGAGAGAACAGGAGGAGAAAGAAAAAAAAAAACATGTTAGCGAAAAGTAGGATGGATTCAGAATGATGGAAAATAACAAACAAAGGCAGGAAGTTGGCTTGGAGGAAAAAAAACAAAACAAATTGTGGCCGCTGTGTGTTTCTTTAAAGCAGCTGGGAAAAATCAGACTTCATGAGAAGTCGGAGAAAGATTACCTCCACACACACACATGCACATGCGCACATTTCTGACTTAAACTGATTACAGAAAATCCCTCAAATGCATCAAATGCACAATGAAGCAGTGATTCCTTTAATGGACACAAAAAAATGTTTTTTTTAAACTTGGAATTGGAAAAATAATATTGTTCAGGCGGAGGAAGCCACAGGAAGGAACCACCGGCTACTGAAGCTCAGGGATCCTGGACATGTTGCAGCTACAGACTCATGACTCAAAGCAGCAGAGATGGAGGATGATCAGGTGGAGGTTCAGACCTGTGTGGATTGACTGGAGACGGTTCTAAAAATGAGAAGATCTGAACATAAATATCTGCAAACGCTGCATGGATGGACTGAACAACGGATGAAACGTTGCATGTACGAATGGATGGATGAATTACAGAATGAATGAATGGATGGATGATAAATGAATGAACTCCACTCATACAATCAGTCCTTGTTTTTAAAAATATATGCTTAAAAATTCCAGTTTGTAATGATAAGCCGCTAATAATCATTGATAAAAGTCCCCAAATCAATATAACGTTCAAGTCAAAGTCTACATAGATTCCTGACTCTCATTCTAAATCATAATCCAACGTTTCCCAGACTCTCTCAGCCTGCATTCGGCACCCAGTGACCCCCCGAGTCGAGAACCTTATCTCAACAACAACAACCTGCCCGCGCATTTGTGTGTGTGCGTTTCTCGTTCAGGCTAATCAGTGGTTCCCCGCTCCCACTAAAACACTTGTTCCTCTCCGGGCCCGTCTCGCCCTCCGCTGCCTGTCGCCACTAATCCTGCTCCAACAACAAGCCTTCATTAGTGCTCTTCCAATACTCACATCCCACAAGGAGAGTTAAGCCTGGCTGTCATCTGATAACCAGCCACCATGGCTTCTTGTCAAAGCTCTTTGAGTTGTTCAGCTTTTTCTTCTTCTTGCTGGAGGGCAGTGGGGGTGGGGGGTGTCACTATTTACCCTAAAAAGGCAAATATTGTAAAGTAGGTAAGTTTGTGGTTATTAGAGTTATGTGATGCAAAGCTGTAGCTCTGTAATCAGGGACTAGATGGAGACTTTTTTGAGATTCTCGCAATATGACAACCTTAAACTGATTTTCACTGCACTAAAAAGCTAAGAAAAATGCATTGCTAATTGATAGCAATTATCTTTACTGCTGCTCTGGACACTCAACATATTATAGCAATTTACAAAAATTGCGGTTCATTTAATTCTGAGAAATAAACTTAAGCAAACTACTAGAAAAAAACAAAAACAAACAAACAAAAAAAAAAAACAACAACCCACTTTCTATATTTAATCATTTTGAATTGCGGCCTGTGGACAATTTTAGACGTTTTTTTTCTACATCTGCTATTTGCACGCCACCTTTTACAAAACAGGTTCTTTGTTGATTTTACAGTAAAATACTTAAAGGGAGCACAAACTGACATGGATGCAAACTGAACTGCGAAATGTTTCTTTTGATAAAGAAAGACGACAGCGATGGACAGCCACCATTATTCATAAGGACTCGCTGCCCTCGGCGTATTCATGGATCAACAGCAAACACTTTGTGCAAGATTAGAAAATGAACTCACAGCTACTTTATTGGTTAGATTGGCAGAACACAATGGAACATTGCACTGCGGAGAAGGTAGACGTTTAATGACAATTAACCATGGACAGGACACCTCACCTTCATGCTCAACACCAAAAAAACTGGCTAACATCTAGACTTTTACATTTTAAATTTAAATTCTCTGTTCTGGAGAAACTTGGGTCGACTCCTTGGCTTAAGTTGAAAACGTCATCAAATCAACAAAACGAAAAAAGGGGGAAGATTTGCTTTCTAAGCTAGCTATGTCCAACTTTTGTTAGCTTTGCTTGTACAAGTAGAAGCCATGGCCATGTTGACAAAAACAACACTATGTTCGTTCCCAGGTAGGGGCTAAGAGACCTGATCGCTCCGTTCAATAATCCTGGGAAGCAAAGAGATCAGGATGTAGCTGATTAACTCGTTAGGTAGCTAGCTTTCTATCAGCTGCTAACAGACTAGCTCGCTAACTGTAGTTTTCAACCATCGTTTTCTGAATAAGACGGATACATGGCACTCAAAGTATAGTAGCCTTCTGTCAGTCAACTGACCAGAAATGCACAGCAACTTGTGGGAGAAAGGCAACACTGTGTTGCTCTGTCTCTATGCAGCTGAAGAAATCTCTGGCATCTCATTAAAAAAAAACAATTTGAACCGTAGAATCGATATTGACAGAATATATAACACTTCTGAACCCCTTATCTTTTACTCCTTGGCACCAGTAGCTGGCCCGTGGACAGATGAACCCCAGGTTCTGAAAAGTCTAAATCTGGGTCAAGTGTCAGGTCCGAACTCATCAACTTCTTTTTTCCTCTATGAGATCACGAGACGAAGGCATATCAAAGGAAGCCCCGGCTGGTCAGGCTGAACTTTCCCAGGAGAAGCACGACTCACTGTGCGGATGCCTCCGGGCAACTGTCACATCGCATGAGATGCCGGCAGATAACACCTTTGAAGGAACGCATAGATCAGTCAGGTTTATACGGATCATATTGATTATGTGTCCATGTGGACCGCAAATCCATAGTCAGACGCAGGAACACTTTTTCATCGATCGGCCAGCGACTGGTCAGCGGTAGTGGAGAGAAAGTGGTCTGCATGAAAAAGAAAGAAACTGAAGAGAATAAGGTAACCAAAACAGAAATACAGAGTCCAGCAACCTGTGGACGTTTTGAGCTGTAAATGCAAAAAGTCCACATTATACAACACACTATATTTCAAGGGAGAAAAAAGTTCCCATCAGTTTGTTTTTAACATGAACATTTTTACTGATACAGTTCATCTTGTTGTTGAGTTTCATTTTCTTAGAAGTCAGTCTGCTCATTGAATCAGCGCCTTTGGGGGAAGTTTCCCCTTTAAGATTCAAATGTGGAGGTTTTTCAGAAGAGGCTGAGGGCAGATTAAGAAGCTCCAGAGGAACGAAAACGACACTTTAGAGACAGATGCAAATGCAAATCTTGATGTTCTGCCTCCAGATGTAAGATATGGTACATTTTTGTTGGAACGCCAAAAGATTGGGGAGATGAAGCCCCTTCTCCTCCCCTAAGCTCTGAACTCCGGCCGTACCAGAGGAGAAACCGAAAAGTCGCTACGAGCAATTCCCCGGCGCTGATGTTTGCGACCGATCCTTTCAGTCAGCACCGACTTAATCAGGCTGACGAGCGGTCCTGACTGCCATTCGAAGCAATCGCTTTTATTAAAACAACCATCTAAACAGCGTTTGTGAGATTCATTAAAAACGTCTGCGGGGCGAGTTGAAAGCAGCTTTGTGGGGCAGCGACTATGAGGACATCTAAAGCAATGAGTGAACGACTGAGAAAAGAGGCAAAAAACATGAGAGGAAAAAAAGGAATTGATAGAAATGGAAAAAGTCAAACGAAGGGTTTGAGAAAGGGCAGGGAGGACGTGATAAGTCACAGGGAGGGTGAGGCGCAGACAGACAGATGAGGAGGAGGAGGAGGGGTGAGGAGGAAGGCTGAGGTCTCACCGTGGCAGAGAGTTGTACTGCCTCGGCGCCCGTTGGAAACCGTCCCCGTCTTCTTGCTGCTGCTGCTGCTGTTGAGTCTCGGCTGTGGCAGAATGGCGTCCGCTCTGCGTCTCGGTCCCGTTGCTCGCCTGGCACACCATGAACAGGAGACAAGAAACCCAGCGCTATAAGACACGAGTCAAAAACAAACCCCGACAACAACAAAAAAAAAAACCCACATAAACAGACATAAACAATTTCACACAGATAATGACAAAAGCTTCACACTCATATTTCCTCTATGGGACACACTCCCCTCAGGGCAGAATGTGGTCCAACAGCGTGACGCCTCCTGAGCGTTCACCTGCCAGCGGGGAACAGGTACTATGATGGCCGTGGTGCTAAAAAACAACAAAATAAGCTCTTTCCTTATTTATTGCTTGAGATGATATTAAAGCAGCATTACCTCCCTTTGTAAACATTGAAATTCAAAGCTTTTCTTTGAATGCAGACATTCAGTGTGTGTGTGGGGAGAAGAAAGAGCTTCTTCCCTTTCTTCAGCTCAGGTCACATGTTTTAACATGGCTTTAGGTTTAATGAGCATTGAAGTTGGTTCACTCCCTGCCCTGATTTCTCCATGTTTTTGACACGCGTCCCAGAAATGACCCACTTGCAGAGTGCTGGGTCCATTCAGGGCTGCAAGTCATTTAGAAAATATTCCAAAGCTGATAATACCGGTAAGGAAGCAGACGGCATTTTATTGTTTGGGGTGTGAAATGTTTGTGTAGTTATGACACGTTTACTACTGACTTATTGTTAATCATTAACAGTATGCATTTCACTGCTATATTAACTTTATGATTATTTAGACTCGTGTCAGTGTGGCTGCATTGTTATTATTATTGTTGTTACTTTAGTTTTTTTTTTCTTTTTCAATTTAATGACATGGCAAAAATTGGCAATCAAAATTGATTTAGCAAAAACTGTGTTAATGTTTGGGGATGAAATCAATGTTTGCATTAAATTAGACGTTTTTTTTACCAACTCTTATTTTTGCCTGGTAAAGTACTTGTGAGAAAGTTTTGTTTGTCATATTTCGTCATCGAAATTATGTTCTTGCAATAATATGTCAGAAAAAAATCTCAAAATAACCCCCAAAAAAATGTACATAGAGGGTGTCATTTCACACTTAAAAGTAAAATTAGAGCCTTTTTATTAGGAAAAAAAGAGCATATGTTCTTGTCCGAATAAAATATATATTTTTTGTATTTTTGCTGAGTTGTACCATATATGTGAGAATCCCTTTCTTGCATACTGATGGCAAATGAGTATAAAAAAGATGGACATGTTACTTTAACCAGATGTTTTTTGACTAAACTCAAATATTAGATTTAATACTACAATGTGCAGCGTGTTGCATTGTGGGCCATTAGTTGGCAGAGGATTCCCTGAACTGTTGAGTAAGTGTTTAAAAGTTAGCCAGCCTTGACAGGTTGTAAGTTTGCACAGTTTAACCTCAAGTGCTTCTGTAATGCACTCGGCTGCCACGGGGAACAGAAACTCCCGAGGAGCAAGAAAACCAGTTGAAAGCGTCTCCCTCGACGCCGTCAAAATGAAGCGTGGTCCAGCTTCGAGAGTAAAAATAGCCAGGAGTTACTGTGGTTACGGAGGGACACGATGAGAAATGTTGCTCAGAGAGAAATGAACCCCGCAGAAAATCATTGAAAGCACTTCAAAGTCCCCGACAGGAGAGCGAGTGAGTGCGTGTGATGAGGAATTAGCTGTACCTGGGCATGCATCCGGGCGAGTGAGGGATTTACGTCCAGCTTGAATCAAACTCCTTCACATGTGATTGGTGGGACAAAAAACGCAGAGGGGTGCAGATGTTGTCCTTGGACTTTTAGAGAATCTAAAAATATTATTTTAGAGAAATAAAAGTTTTCTTTAAAGAATCCATTGGCCGAGAGCGTGTTTTTAAAGAGATGATGGAAGAAGAAGCATGTTTTCTTGGGCTCAAAACCTCTAATTAGAAAAAGATTGACGGTGACATCCTCATGCTTCCCACCCTATAAACCTATTGGCCTTAGTCTTCATATTCCCACAGTGTTGTCTTTGTTGTCTGATTATCTTCAAGGGTTGACATGGAGATATCGTCTCCCTCACCGCCAGCGCGCCGCTAACGAGCTGGCTGATGAAAGAACAAGACAAGCCAATTAGAGAAACAAGCAGAGAAAGTGTTGTGAACATGCTTTTGCCGGGTGTCGGTTTTCATGCGGTTCGGACGGTAGCGTGGCAATGCCAGATGCTTTTCTATCGGACATTTCTGCGCTAGGAAACACCAGTCGCTCTCTTCTCTTTTTACTGGATTATGTGTTTCACAGCTCACTTAGTGTTTCGCTTTGTTTTTGTTTCACGTTTCAGGTAATCTCATGATAAATCCAGATGATTCGTAAAGGCCTCACAGGTTTTTTTTAAAGGATAAAAAAGAAAAAAAACAGACAACAACCAATCAAGGGAGATCCAGGAAGTGTTCAGGGCAAATCTAGGTAATAAGGTCATCATTAACAAGTGAAGTAAAACAAAGCCATTTAGGGAAAAAAAAAAAAAAACCCACACATTTCAATAAAAAGTTGTTTGTGAATGGCTGAAATGGTTTTTCAGCCATTGTCAAAACAGCTGGATGTTACTTCTGGCAGAAAGGAAGAAGACAACAGGAGGGGCTGAGAGGATTTTGGTCTGTTCTTGTTGTTTTTAGATGATGAGCAGCTGGCTCCACCAGCATCACAAAGTTCATAAAAAGTTTTCATCTGAACATGTTGAATCTCTTCTGTAAAATTGCCAACTCCAATTTTCTCAATACGCTGCATATGTACGCTCAAACAATGAGATGTTGACGAGCTCCAACATCTCATAAGGTACGACACAGTTGCTTGGTGACTATCACCCATGAATCTAAAGCACTGTCCTGAAAACTTTCACTTCGGTCCACATGCTAAGCTGCCCCAGTGTTGGAATCAGAGTGCGCAGAGAGGGTTGGGGTGAAGGGCAAACGAGGTCAGTAGGGCTTGGAACTCGCTTATAACTAAGTTTTCATGTTTTTGGAAACCAATAAAAAGGAATCAAACACATTGATGGGACATTGCCTGGACCTTTTGTAATGAAAAGCACAAATCTAGTCCTTATATAAACGTGACAAGAAGAAGAAAGTCATTGGTCAAAGAAATCCACTTGAACTTTTTACGAAGGTTTTGCCAAATAGAGGATGCGAGAAACAAGGAGGAAATTGTTCCTGTTTCAAAATGTCTGTCATTGCACCAGTTTTTCCTTCATTAAAGTTTGTAAAGTGATGAAATGTGAACTTGTGGAGGTACTCATAGTTTTCTAAGCCCTATATGTTCTGTGCCGTTGCTGGTAGACTGTTGACGGCGCATTATCGAATAGATTGATGGGATAAAAATCCACTGGCAGAACCTGAATAAAAAATAAATAAAATAAATGTCTTCCTGGAAACATCTTGTGTTCTTGAAATGGCTGCTTTCCTTTTCACTTGGACAGCTGCAATAACAGCCACAATTACTTTTCACTCCTCGTCAATAGCAACTCCTTTCTCAAGCTCGCCAAGTCCTTAAAAACATAATAGTATTCCACGTGGGTGGATGGAATTGGACTCGCATGTTTGAGTTTATAGCAACACTATCCCTCCGGTTCCAAAAGAGTGTAGAGCACATAAACAAATATCAGATGAAACGTGAGGGAGGGACAAAAACACAAGAGGAATTATTTCACTGAAGCCAAATGGTGAGAAAATAATTAGTCACGCACTGCTCTTGATGATGCCTCGGATTCATTCTGACGGGTTTGAGGTGGATGACGGCAAGCTGAGAGGAATGCAAGAGAAATGGCCAGGAGAGAAAAATCAGTCAGTGTAATGGCATTATCCAGGGAAGGAGAATCAGATTATTCCATGTTACGGCTGGAATATAATGCCATATGAAATATGACATTTGTCGAAATCGAATCAAAGAGATGTCCGTGTTTGTTTTTTATCCAATAACGTGAAAAATGATGTCAATACGGCACGCTTTTTATCTCCCCTTGTTTCCTTGGCTGGCGTCACAGAGCGAGTTTGGAGAGAAAGAAGCAAAAAATAAATAATAATGATAAAAACCTCCTCCACCTGTTTAAACATAAAAGCCAGGGGGATGCAATTATGGAAATTGTCTGGAGCCGTCAAAAGTCCCAGACAAGTGGAAGCACCTGGATGGGAGTTAAACTTTAAAAGGCGGAATAGCTGCGGTATGGATCCACTTTCGATTGACGAAAAACCTTTTTCATTGTGAAAGTATCTTCCTGCTTTGGATCAGTGCTGCCATTAAGGACTTGCTATCTTTGCCGCCCCTATCTTGCTATGTTCGGAGGCCGCCCACAGATGTAACCGCTTTAAGGAAGCAGCCAGGCTGTAAACAAACAGACATATGGAAAACATTGACGCTGCTAATGGGCATACAGAACGAGAAGAAAGTGAGAGAATGGTAGTAAACCACCACATCCTGACAAAAGCCCACTTGGATCATGATCCCCTCTTAAAGTCAGCACGCCAACCCAATTCCGCCAATTTATTATAAGGAAGCCCAGTCCATTTGTGGTTGGCGGGGTGTTTCGCTTCGGGCGGCGAATCCATCTGAGTGCATGCAGTGTGGTCTGCTGTTTCCCGGTCTTCTTGCCCAAGAAACCAGAGAGAATGGGAAACTCGTCTGGTTTTCCCCGTATCACGTTCAGACTTGAAAAGAACAACAAAATATTGGGGCTTTTTTTTTTTTTTTATGACTGCGGGCAGATTTATAGAATCAATTGAGCTTAAAACTATTTTTATAACTTAAACTGCAACGCTGGCCTCCATCTTATCTTTAAAAGAGAAGACATAGTTCAGCCCACATGCGCACTGGCCATGCTGAGGAATGAAGGTGATCGTTTAATCTGGGATTTGGCAGCAGCGCGCTCACATGACAATGCTGATGTGATTGTTAAAAAAAGAAAAAAAAAAGTTGTTTGCACACCAACGAACAAGCTAAATCACTATGATTATCTGTCAGGTGCTGCACATATTTTAGCTTCAGTTGCTCGCAGTTGTTCCCCACTGCAGTGCCTC